AGCCACGCGCCGGGGCAGCCGGGCAGGGGGGAGGCCGGGGGCTTGGGCAGCTGCAGGTGACAGCTCTACTTCCCCTGTTGTATTCTTCCTCCTCCTCCTTTTCCTTTGGAGATCCAGCGGTGACTCTGAGATTACTAACAAGAGGGGCCAAGAGACCAGGGGAGGTTGGCAGCTGGCCTGGGGGCAAGTGGCAGAAGTCAGCATTGTAATGGGCCAGGAGGGACCCATCGCCCTGGGAGGAACAGGCAGGGGCAAGAGGGCAGGAGCCAGGGTGGCAGGAGCTGCCCACAGCCCCAAGGGGCCACCAGCCAGGGACAGCCCTGGTGGGAAAGCTGCAGACTTCTGATGTTGGCCGCCAACCTCCTGTGGGGTTCACAGGGCCCAGCGCGCGCTTCTCTGAACTGAGTGTCTGTCTCTCCGGTGGCCCCCTGCCTCCCCCTGCCTGTCCTCCCTCCCTGCCCGCACCTCCCCTGGCCTCTTCTGCACTCTCTTGCTGGCTCCAGCTTTCTACACGGCGGCCCCGCTCACCTCGGCCGGGATCCTGCCCGTCATGCAGTCCCTGTGCCCCGACGGCCAGCGCGACGAGTTTGGCTTCCTGCAGTACTCCAACTCCACGTGAGTCGTGCCCTCGCCGTGCGCTTCCTCCCCCTGCCCTACCCGCTCCCACCCGCTCCCAGCCTGCCCCTTCCCACGCTGACACTGCCCCACCGGCAACAAGGGACAAGCCCCTGTCCCCCAGAGTGCTTGGGTGCAGAGCGCTGTGTCCCCGCAGGGGACATCTCAGCCCCTTCCCTCGTGGGCTCCTGGGTACCCAGTGCTGGGGGGAGGACAGAGGTGTGCTGGGGACACCTCAAGGCACTGGGGTTCTCCTCTGCACCCCTGGCATGGTGGGTTTGGTGTGCAGGCAAGGGCAGCTCCTGGGGTAGCCGTGCCCCATGGCAGGCAGCACCGCTGCCCCATGCACCTGAGGGGCTCGCCCGCCCCAGGCTCTGTGGAGGGTGTCCCCCTCCCTCTGTCCCTGTCCCTGAAGCGGCGGTGGTGCCGGGCTCTCACAGCGTGACGCAGCTCCTGGAGCACCTCAGTGAAGCGGTGGAGCAGAGCAGCCTCTTCGACCCGCAGCACCCGGGGCTGGAGGAGGAGCTGGAGTCACTGCGCCGGCGCCTGGAGGCACTCAGCAGCAGCGAGCCCAGCTCCATGGAGACCCACTTCAGCAACTCAGCAGGTAGGCTGTGCCCTGCCAGCCCTCACTGTGGCCTGTGCAGGCAGGGATGGAGGTGCCCACATGCCAGGCACCCAGCAATGTGATGGCATGTGGCAGTGCCCTGCCATGGTCCCACATTGCTGTGTGCCAGGCAGGGCCAGCTGTGATATGTCCCCGCGTGGGGCCGTGCCATGTCCCCAGCACCAGTGGGCTGCTCTGACCCTCCTGCCTTGCTCCTTGCCAGGATCCGGCTTCACGCTGGCATGGGCGGCCAAGGACCAGGGTGAGCTGCAGCGCTTCCTGACACAGAACCTGTCCCTCCCCAACAGCACAGCCGAGCTGCTCCTAAGCTCCAGTGTTGACCTGCGGGAGGTGGGTGACGACCTGCAGGAGGTGGGTGGTGACCCACAGGAGGTGGGCGATGATCTGTGGGAGGTGGGTGACTGCACAGCGCTGCAGGGTTGGGCTTTGCAGGGTCCTCACTGCCCCAGTGAATGGGCACATCCTGACCCAGGCTGAGCCCTGACCATCAGACCCACAGGGGGGGAGTTGGCGGGCGCCTGGCCAGGACTCATCCTGCCCTGCCACCCCATGCTGGGGCATTGCTGGGCAAACAGGTGCCTCCACTCCCAGCATGCTCGGCAGCCCCGCTCCTGTCCCTGGTGCAGGTGTACCGCCTGTTTTTCGGTTCCTTCCCTTTGGTACCTGATGAGACCCATGAGCGAGACCTGTGGGATGGGTTTGGCCCTGGCAAGAAGATGGCGCAGCTGGAGGTGAGGAGCAGTGCTGCGTGTGGGGACATGGGGGGGCATGGCTTGTCCTCTGTGTCCCCTCCATGTCCCCCCACAGGGCAATCCGGAGTGTCCATCCCAGCAGAGGGGCTGTGTTGGGACGGTGTCAGGTGGCCCGAGCAGCAGCAGGGATGGCTGGGTCCTGTCCTGGTGCTGCCACCAGTTCCCCCAGTGCTTTCAGGCACACCAATGCCTGTGCCTCAGTTTCCCGTTGCAATGGGTGATGGCACCGTCTGGACGGGGAGATTGTTCTCTCCTGTGGCTGAGGTGCAGGGGACCCATCTCCCCCCCCAGCTGCCTGTCCCCTTTTCTTCCCCTGTCCATGGAGACCATGGGTGTGGGTGCTGTGGGGCCATTCGCACGTGCTTGAGGACACACATGGAGGGGGACCCCAGGGAGCCCCCATGCCACCAGGCCCCCCGTTGGTCCTCTTTCAGACGAGCCTCCCCAGCGGCTGGCGGGGGCTGCGGGAAGGGCTGGTCCACAGAGCCCTTCAGGACCCCACAGCAGCCCTGCACCAGCCGGCACTGCTCCGCCTGCTCTCCCAGGCCCTGGGCCTCACCGGCACCGCTCTGGCACCCACCACCTCTGAGAGCCCCCAGGCCTTCATCACTGAGATGGAGGTGAGCATCTCATGAGGCCAACCGGGGTGTGCGGGCAGCTGCCTTGCCAGGGTGGGCACCGCCATGGTGCCCCTGCACCCAGGGCTGCGCCCTCATGGCTCCCTGCCCTGTAGGGTGTCCTCTTCACCGGGCCGGTGCTGGAGCAGCTGACATGCGAGCAGAGCCCGGGGGAGCTGCACCGCCTCCTGCGTGTGGCCCCTGGGCAGCAGCCGCTGCTGCAGGCATACTGGGTGCTGGCCTGCAATGGCAGCCGCACTGCCCGCAGGGACCGCTTTGCCCAGCTGGCCACCGAGCTCCGGAACCAGCTGGATACCCCCAAAATCGTCAGCAGGGTGAGAGCGGGACTGTGGCATGTGCCTCCCTCCAGCTGTGGGGTGGGCTGTGGGGCAGGGACAAGTCCTGGGCAGGGTTTCCTTATTCACTGGGGGATGTGTGGGGATGGGGGGCTCTGTGGCATGACCCGGCCCCTCCTGATCACCCCTTTACTCCACCTGGGCACCCACAGCCCAGCCCCATGGTGGGACCCCAGATGATTCACCCTCCTGCCAGCTGCTCAGATGCTGCCTGTTGGATGGGGCTGGGTGTCCCCAGCATCCTCCAAGCGTGTCCCCGCAGGCTCTCCTCCCTGGGACTAGCAATGTTGCTGGTGGCACAGCTCCTCAAGGCTGGCTCTGAGGTCCCCCTCCTCAGTCTGGCATGTCCTTGCGGGCACAGAGGACAACCCTTCCTGCCTGAGGGATGACATCTGTCCCCCAGTAAGACCCTGCCAGCATTTACCTGTACTCCCACTGCCTGATAGCCATGGATGCATGGCAATGACTCCAGGGCCCCAGCTGGGCAGAGCTCCAACTTTTTAACCAAGAAAGCAGACATGAGACTGCTTGGGGTCCCCCTTGGGCCCGTCCGGCTGGTGAGCAGGGTGCTGACACCCCAGCCATGGGTAATCTCTTGCCCACTTGACCTCACAGCTGAAGCTGGATGAGGTGAACAGTACGGCTGCCCAGCACCGCCTCCGCGCCCTCCTGGAGGACCTAGCGGAGATGGAGAAGGTTCTCCGTGATGTGGACATCCTCTCAGCACTGGCCAAGCTGCTACCCAGGGGAGCCTGCACCAGCAAGGCCCCACCACCCACTGCCAACAGCACCAGCTGGGCCAGTGCCAATGCCACGGCTGGCAATGCCACGGCGGAGGAGGAGGGCGCTGAGGGGGGCCCGGCCGGTGGCGACAACCCCCAGGGGCAGTTCTCAGCATTTGTGCAGCTCTGGGCCGGGCTGCAGCCCATCCTCTGCGGCAACAACCGGTAGGAGCCCTGGGGGACAGAGGGGGATGGATCCGGGGGG